AGCGTAACCATTTTAAAAAAGCGTTCTTCCGAAATTTATTCAAAAACTTGCTAGTTTCACTTTGATTTTTTAAACTCAAGTAGGGTAACTCTGTTCGCAAAAGGTGCGCTTTTGTGAAGAGGGCGCCACCGAATTTTGAGGACACTTTTTTAATTGGCTCAAAGAGAGAAATATCCCCTCGTGTTATGTAGACTCTTTGCTCATATTCGGAATCGCTTCTTTAGCTGCACACTGTAGGCGAGTATAAAGCCTAAGAATGTTTAGATATTTCTAAAAATATTATGTCCTATACAGTATCTTTTGTTACCATTTTTCTCGCTTATTCAAAGTAAGCAACATCGATATGTAAGCTTTTATTATTTTTTATATATAGTAAAGCTAGACGCATACACATATTTTATACATGAGTTGCAGTGGTAGACCATGATTTATCCTACTTGTGAAATTGCCAGTTGTAATCACTCGCTGATTATAAAATTATATCTACGCTATTAACTATCTCAGGAGCATTTTGGATAGAGCAACGGAGCATCAAAGGACATGTCTGGAATGCAGGGATGTTGCTAACCAGAAACAATGAACAATGAAACTATCTTAACTATCTGCAATATCTTAACGTAGTGGTATGGTGGACCAACGTTTAAACACGAACAAACAAACAAGCAAACAAAACACACACACACACACACACACACACACACACACACACACACACACACACAAACAGACAATAAGAACACCCCCTCCAAAAACAAACAAACAAACAAACAAACAAACAAATAAAAGGAACAAGCCAATAACAATCGGTGCTAGGTCTGACGTGCGTAAAGTGTGCAAGGATGTGTGTGGGGTGGAAGGCGGAAGCTACTTCTTTACTTTTTTACGTCATAGTTGTGCGCGCAAAATGATTACGTCAAAACGCACTTCCTTTTCTTTTTCCCATTTGCAAAGTATTAGTGAAAATCAACGTTCAACTTTAATTTTTTTCACTTCCAATCTTATTTGTGGCTAATAACTTGAGACAATAAGCCGAAACCAGTTTTCAAGATGTCTGGCAACCACGCAATGTCTCGAGAACTGGATCAGGTGAATTAGAATGTGTCGTGTTTGTGTTTTAAAGTGTTTATTGCCTTTCATTTCTTACCCAGCCTTACCGGAGTGATATATATTATATCTCTCCCTCTCTCTACCCCTCTTTCCCTCTCTCCGCCCCTCCTCCCCTC